GGTTTGCAAAAGTATGTAGCCTTGTTTATAATATTTATAAAGAGTTTATATATTTTATAATGCAAAGAAATTTGGCAAGGGACAAAAAAAAATCCAAATTATTTCATGTTCCATATTCATTTTCTCTGAAACTATAGTAGCTGCTGTGATACTTACATTTGGAGTCTTCCAAGTTTTAGCTATATTTTGTTAGAAAGATTATCGAAATATAATTTTTAATTGCTGAGAAAAACTAAATTAGTGTTAATTTATACACTTACTTCAGAAAACCTGGTGGGACTTTATAGAGCTTAACAAATTCAGATCAGTAGTAACTCAGTACATGCTGCAGTATTCCTCAGGATGTAACAAAACATGTCACTGAAGAGCAATTAAATTATGAGGTGAAATTAACGTAAATCATTTTGTACATTAAGATTTCATTACGATACTTTTGGCAGGATTTTGAATGTTTTTGTTGAGTTCAGGCTCCTAAAAATGCTGGGCTTGAATTAGCATTAGCCGGGTGCGCTCACCTGTTTGAGGTGCCCCATGTGTTAAAGCAACTCTCTACCCAAGTGCACTCTAACACACACACACACACACACACACACACAGCAGATATCTGTTTGTGCTCTCTGGAGAGTTTTCCAGGCTGTTACCCAGATGTGTTTTGACTCCAGATGTTTCAGATGAGCATCATGGTTTTATGACCTAATTGACCAATGCCCTCACTGATTTGAAGTTTCCCTGTTTCTACAGTACATCACATTTTAGAGCTTTTGGTTTTGCTGTAGATTCAGCCAATACACGCTGAGAGATCTGCATACAGTCTGTTACTGTTTTTTTATACTCATGTGCGCTCCTCTTTCTTTTCATCCCTCAGTTTTGGAAAAGAGTGAGTTTAAAGATGACTCGCAGTTCTTCCGTTTCTATGCTGATGAAGAAATGGAGGGAACCGGCACCAAGAGCAAGCAGCTGCAGCGAAATGACTTCAAACTCATAGAAAACATCCTGGCCAAGTCCCTGGTGGTGAGCCTTCAGGATTTTACATTTACACACAAATTGTAGAAATTCTCTCTCTTGGCTCAGACTGTGATATCTGCACCATCTGGAACATATATAGATATATATGCTAATAATAAAATGACTGTGAACACATCTCAAGAACAATAAACCTGGCAGGCAGATGTTCCACTTCACTGCGTTTATCTCCTCCCATATAAACACATATAACATTGTTTTAGTTGGAAACAATGAGGTTTCATGTATCTGAGGTAAAAACAGGCCACAGTTTTTCTGCAAACATTTGGCTACACTCCTGAGACAAAAGTGTGCATGTGTGTAATCACATTATCATCAGCTGCACTTGCCTGGATGAATCCTCTGTTCCTTTGACTCTGAGAAAACCATAAACTTGAGGCGGACAGAGACGAGTTCAAGCTAAGCAAAGCAGCAGACACAAAGCCTGTGTTTACCTACCTGCGTGTTTGTCTCTGTACGAAAGCAGCTGATCAGTGAAGGCCTCACAGGTTTGTTAAGAGAACACTGGACAAACAGGAAGACAAAGCAGTTATGTAAGAAATTTCAGAGCTTTTAACATCATAACACAAATGAATTTACCAGGTGAAATGAGGTCAGCCAGCAGCTCCAGCAGACTGCTTTTATTCTAGTTGGTGCAAGAGAAAGGGACTTGTTTATCCAGCGAAGGCGTACAGGCATGGCCAGCATCTCATTCAACATCCAATGTGGGAAGCAGTCATGCTATCTGGTGTTCCATGAGAAGTGGAAATGGCTTTGACTTGATTAGCGGAACCAATCCCCCCTCTGCTCTTGCCCCGTTACTGAGGCGAAGTGCAGGAACTCTTTATTTACCGCAATCATCTCCTCTGATACAACAAAGGAGATCGCCATCTTATCAGGGCCGTGCAGCAGGAAGACAGCCCAGCAGCAGCAGACGCTAATGGAGGACCTAATGGGTTTTGACGATGACGGTCTCAATTCATGGTGGTGGGGGCCAGGGGGCGTGTGTGATGAGGGGGGCCAACAACATCTTCGGATGTGAGACTCCTGACACGGGAAGAGAAAATCCTAAAAATCTCAAAGGATTTTATGTTAACATGTGGATTTATGCAGATGTGACACTTTGTGGAAAAAGGGGGGAAACTTTAGCAAAAGTGTAGAAAAAATATTTGTCACGCAATGAAGCAGCGTAAATGTTTCTGTCTGTGTGCCAGATTCACCCTGAGGAGGAAGACTACGGCTTCAAGATCGAGGAGAAAAACAAAGCTATTGTGGTGAAATCTGTCACCAGGGGCTCACACGCAGAGGTAACACACACACGCGTGCATGCACGCACGCACACACGCAGGGGTACACACACATACATGTTTGAGTGGCTACCTTTGTGGGGACTTTCCATTGACTTCCATTAATTTCTACAGCCTAAACTTTACCCTTATTCTAACCCTAATCAAAACTCAATTCACGCCTTAGTCCAGAATCTAACCCCTGACCCAAAAACAGCGATTCCCCTTGAAGGGATCAGGCTTTGGTCCCCACAAGGAGCAGTGGATCCCTACAATGTAGTATGTGTCAGGAAAATGGTCTCCACAAGGTATTCCAGACAAACACGTGTGTTACAGAGGTAACACACACACACACACACACACACACACACGCACACGCACACACACACACACACAGAGGTGACACACACACACAGACGGCGCTCTTCCTGCCACAGGGCATTCGTTCCACTTAGTTATGGCCGTCCTCTGTTCTGACGGCGGCTGTCAGTCTCCTGCTCTCCTCTAGTTGGCTGCAGAATCGTTGCCCAGATGACAAAACACACATTTGTGTTTTACTGTATGAAATAAAAAAAGAGCCACTTTTCTTTGAAATTGATGGAGCGTACTTGTTTTCCTTTAATGTTTGCTGTCTGAATTGATCAATCTGACTATTAAACAAACTTTTGTCTTGTCTGAAATATTTTACTTGAAATCAGTAATCAGTTTCTGTATCCACTGGGCCTAAAAGGTCTTCACATTTTGTCACACTAATGACAAAAACACCAGTTAAATAATGTCTATCTAATTGTTAAAGGGGCAGTGTTTTGTAAAATTGACTTCTTCTTTGAGCTTTACACCATGTTACAAAGTTATTCTTTCATCATAAACAAATCTGGAGAGTTGCTTTGATTGTTTCATGCCTGTTTGAGAAATCCTTTAATCTCCTTGGCAGCCATTCAGCTGGGTGCCTAAGCGCTTGCTGTCACCAACCATCACCTTCCCTGCAGCTCATCCTTGAAGCTTCAGCCTCACAGAGCAGCTCCTCCCCCACTCGGCTCCTTCAGACTAGCCTGCAGCAATTAGGAAACCCCTGGCGGAACTGTTTCTGCTCCAAAGAACATTTGTAAATAGCTTAACACAGAAATGTTGTTGTTATGTTGCAAAGAACAGGAGCTTCTTAAACAGACAAAGACTTAATTTTAAGGGGTTTACTTACGAAGTTAAGTTTCTTTAAAGTTCTGTTTGATATATGCAGCATTTAACAGTTACTGGATTGTGCTGCAAAATGGCCCAAAGTACCTGGAAGACGCATAAGGAAACAGTTTTCCAAATTTCTTAAAAATAAAATCTGATGTGGTGTGTATTTGTGTTTATCTCCTCTACTCTGATGCTACTGACCAATCTGACCAATCACATGACTAACTAGGAAAGGAGAGGTGAAGTTTATTTGTTGAGCACGTTTCAGCCACAAGGCAGTTCAGTTTTTTAGATCATAAACACATCATAAGTAACCGGTTATGAGATCTAGTCAAAGACCAGTCAAGAGGCCGATGGTGAAGTTGCAGAGATCCTCGGCTCAGTTGGGAGAATCAGTCGTCATGACAGCTATTAGACGCATAAATCGCAAACATGGCGTTTGTGTTTGAGTTTGAGTTTGGCGTTTGTGCAAATAAGCAGACACTTACTTGCAGAGTCATGAAGAGGAGACAGAAAACATGTGGAAGGAGGTCAGATGAAACCAAATCTGAAGTTTGTAGTTATGTTTGAGACACAATAGGGAAAAAGTTTAACAGTTTGATGAAGATCCTTAAAAGTCCTGCACACTGTTTATCTCCTATAATCCAGTTTTACATTCTCTCTATCCTTTCAGCTGTCCTCTGCTGGGCTGTCCTATTTAACACCATGAAGCCTCCTGGCTCCTCCAGCTCCTTCCTTCTCCTTCCTCCTTCTTCCTTCTCCTGCTCATGTGTTTTTAGCTCTCCTTCCCCCCGCAGCTGATTGTGACTCAGCCTGTGTGCCAGAGGACAGAATGAAGCTCAGCTGATTCCCATGGGGCTCTGAAAGGGGCTGACACACACACACACACACACACACACACACACACACACACACACACACACACACACACACACACACACACACACACACACACACACACACAAACACACACTGAGGTCTTTCACTATACGATGCTATAATAGAAAGTCACGTGTAGTCCGGCTCCCATACTGCGTAATCACATACATCCTCTCCTCATCCAAGGGGCCGTGGCTCCTCCCCGTTGCCATGGCGTCCACGCCGGGCTCCGGTCCAGAGTCGGGGTGTGTGGCTTGGCCCCGACCGGATCCGTTCCTGGGACACTGGGCTCCCTCAGCGCCGCGGACAGAGGCGGCATTATTTAGACAACGTGACTGAAGATGTGAAAGACAAGATCGTTGGATGACATGCAGCCATCTGACTGACTGGAAGAGCAAAACATGCAACTGTTACTGCGTTGTCGCATGCTTCCAATCTGTGTAAAGGTTAACTTGACCCGGTGAAGGTCGTGACTCAAAGAAGACGATCACACTGAAAACATGTAGAGTAGGGCCCAGCATTTATCAGTTATCATGAAAACTTTCTCGTCATGGAAAGACTTTTGGTTTATTACTGTCAAGATACGTTTCAGTTATTGAAGGTAAATAAAAAACACTTTTTAAAGTAAGTGGCGTCTTGAAGAAGCCTGTTGCAAATGGGAATATTTTTTCAAATCTGTTTGTGGTCCCATACAGTTACCAAAAAAATGAGTAATAAGTTGTTTTTTTAAACCATAATACGCATCATTATCACAACAGTGCCATAAAATATTGCAATAATGTTCTTAGTCCATATAGCCACTCCTATTTATTCTAATTTTTAAAACTGTGAGCTCTGAGTTTGGTGGAAATGTGTGCAAATCCATCCAGCAGTAACCAGGTGTGCAGTACAATCATATCTATTAATCTTGACATGCTCTTCCTGTATGAAAACACAACTTTCTGTACCTGCTTAGTCCTGCATACTTGATTTTTTTCTCTTGCTTTCTGTTGCTTCGTTCTGCTCCACTCTTTTGACGCTCAACATGCTGAACACTGCAAAACATACTGCACTGCAAAAACACAAAGTTATAACCAAGGAAGTAGTACAAATATCTTTATGCACTTGAAATAAGACAAAACTAGCAGTGAACTAGTTTTACTATAACTGAAAAAATCTGCCAGAGGATCAAAACAAACTCCCATATCTTGCAGAAAAATTCCCAGTAAGCTAATTTTGTTTTCATTTTAATTTCAAGTTTAGACAGAGATTTTCACTAGAAACTAGAAAAAAAATACTTTCTGTGTTTTTGACTCTAGTCAGGGAAAAACTTGCCTCACATGGAGGAAAATCAGCTGAGGTCTTGCTGTGGCAGGCCGTTTGTAAACTAAGTGTGGTTCATCTGAATCTCTTCTGAACAACACTTTGAAAGACACCGAGGAAAGCTGCAAGCTATTAAAAGAGCCTTCTGTCTCCTGTCTGTCTGTCTGTCCTCCCAGATGGCTGGCCTGCAGGTGGGCAGGAAGATCTACACCATCAACGAGGATCTGCTGTTCCTCCGGCCGTTCTCCGAGGTGGAGGCCATGATCAACCAGGCCTTCTGCATACGACGCTCTCTGCGGCTGCTGGTCGCCACCAAAGCCAAGGAGTGAGTGCCATGAATCAATCAGGTGAACGTGTTTAGCAGACACCAAGCACAAGCTGTTCTGACTCGTCCTTTTTCCTTGTTTAGGATTGTGAAGATCCCTGACAACCCAGAAAGCCTCTCCTTCAGGCTGTCAGGGTCGGAACCGCCACACGTCCACGCTGTGAGGAAAGGTGAGACCAGCTGGAGGAGACTAAGAGATTCCAGACTGACCTGTTTCTGAGATGTTGGGGCAGAATGTCAGAGTGATGCAGATGCTGGTGGTGGGAACGAAACAAAATGTAAAAAAAAATATGAAGGAGTAGGAAAACTTTAGAAAGACCTTATGGGATTTATTTCAAAAGCTCTGAACGTGCCGTCTTTATTTCCAACAAACAGTCATCCACATATAGTCGGATATCTGGGAAAATGAATAGATTTTTATGTAGTTTGGCCTTTCATCTACACAAATACTCTGTTTTATACCACTAAAAACAATTATTTATAAAAACTCAGAGCAAAGTGGAGATTTGAGTAAACTGTATTTTTGTTTGCATGTGTAAATGGGAAAGACAGAGATTCCTAAGCATTACAGTCTGAGACAAATAATGTGCTAATATCGACTTCATCATTTGTTTTATTAACTTTATATTCTAATATGTTCTTTAAAAATTGTTCAACTTGTTTATCTGTCCACACAAACGATTCTCCTGGTGCCATGTTTAATTGTTTCAAAGCAATCTGATTGCATTGCACTGCCCCCTGTGGGTCTGGCATGTTTAAAACACTCGGGTGGATTTGTTTGGATTCATGTGGATAAAAACTTTTCTGAAACCGATCCAGAGTGTACAATATTACTTTTTTTCAAATGACATGGCAGAGATATTTCTTTTTATAAAGATCACAAAGCGTAAGACTTTGATCAAACACTCAGGATTTATGCATGAATTTAGTTTTCTTTTGTGATATCAGTGCCAGAAAATATGATAAATATGTTCATGTTGGCAAAATGACAAATAATTCAGAGAGACCATGGATGATAAGTGAGGTAACTATTGTGTCTAAATATCTGTTACCCTCTGTTTTTAATTTTACGGGCGCCTGTTGACCAGATGACTTTCTCTGCGTTTTAACTCTTCTGTCGTTGGTCTTTTATGTAATCACACGCAGGTGCTTTATGAAACCACTTATCTTTCTAATCTCAACCCTCTTTACAGCTTCTTGCCTACGTATTTACACTCGTTAGAATGACTGAAAGTGGAATAAAGAGGGATTTACTGTATGACATGAGCAGGGGTGAGAGTAGGGGGGTACAGTCGGGTACTGCTACCCCTAAAAGATTTAGCGGGGGTACGCAGTTCCTACAAGAGAGGGGAGCGGCTGTCTGCTGTAAAGAATCAATGGGTTCACTGTGCAACCGTGAGTGCGCCCACTAATCAGTCGTGACTGAACACGGCCAGAAGGCTGAGACCAGCACGTCCTCCTCTGACTCCTTATCAAAACGTTCATAACTTTATTAAAGAACGTGTTCAAATTAATGACCCAACAACAATAATAATCTCAGTAATTATTGTTTCAACAAGGTGTTAAGTAATTCTGTGCGTTTCGGTTCCATTACCAAATTATCTAGCAGAACAGGAGATTAAAATTAATCAACCACCGCTGTGTTCAGGGAGGATTATTAATG